AATACCTTTTGGAATTTTTATTATATATTGATACGCAAAACGCTAATAAATATTCTTGTTATTACAGATAATTAAATTTGATATTTGATTTTCGCCTTGAAGAATTCAACAAATCATGAAATATTCATCTTTGGTTGTTTTATTGTGAAAACATTGATGCGAAAAGATGATATAAATAAAACATCTATATTAGTATTAACTGTGTTTATTTTCTGTAACTTTTTAAGCAAATCGACAAGACTATACTTATTTATTTATCGGTACTACGAGCGTTTATCTTTTGTAATTTTATAGACAAATCCACAAAACTTTATGTTTAAGAAAAATACATTTAACAGTTAATGTGTGCATTAAGATTAAGTATAAGATACGATTTTCGTGGTATTTTAATTTAATAAAGATTAGGTTTCCGTATAATTTTTCTTTTTTATCACTTCGTCTATGTAATCGGTTTATTAATCGGTGTTTCAATTTAAAACCATATGTTGACCTTGACATCCTCATTTATTTTTCTGGAAAGTTAGAGGATCGATTTGACTACGTCAAATGATTATCCGATAACAAAAAACATTTTTCGAACCATTTTGTTTAGAACGATTATTTTCTTTCACGACAATACTAGATGGGTAAAAATCTCTTAAGAATGAACTTTTTGAAGAAAACTTGCGAATATATCTATTGGATGAAAAAATGAAAAAAAAATTCGATTTGACTGGTACTAATGGATGACATTTCTACTTTCACGATTCACGGAAACGTTTCAGAGTTGGGCAAAATTTTATCCGGTTGATGGATAAGGGATAAGGGTTAATGAATACAATTTTATTTGACGTTATCGAATAAATATTCAATTGAATAAAAATTTTATTTACGTAACAATTTATCCAAATAAGATTTTCTTCGAATAAAAATTCATTTGAATAAAAATTGATTTGTAGAGGGATTAATTTGGAAAATAATTAATTTGATTAAAAATTATAGATTATAGCGTGTTTCCATAATTTATTAATTAATTTCTACCATGTTAATTTTTACAACTAACTATATGTATATTAGTGATAATAAGTAGGTAATATTACGTAAAGTCAGCAAAAATAAACTAAACACCAAGCAAACCTCAGCATCCTTATTCTTCCTTCTTTCTTTGTTGATCTCTCAAGATTAGACCAGGCCATGATAGGGTTTTTAATATAAATTTTTGTGACTCTCATTTACTTTCGATTTATATGAAAAAACCGCCGCGATTTTGTCATCAGTTAAATAGCGTTCGTTGTTAATAATTTGAAATGAATTGAAATTCACACACAACCGTAATTTAGGTTGATATGGAATCAGAACATTCGGATCAATGTAAACATTAAATCAAATGATGTCATGTTAGTTTCATTAATAAAGTGTCTTGACGACGCTAAATAAATAATTATTTAATTAAAATAAATAATTAAATTGAATATTTTACAAGTAAATTTACACGAAAATATAGATATTTTACTTTCCCCATTTAACCCGTATGTGTCAGTGGCTCCTGTATGTGTAATATTTCCCACATGTTGATAACTCCTTCGCTCTCACCTGACTTAAATCCTATTGAACACGTATAGGCAAAACTTGTAAAAAATGTACAACAAAAGAAAGAACATCTAAAAGAAATATTGAAAAGAGAATGGTGTAATATAGAACTTGACTTCATTAAAAGTCCAGTATTATCAATGCCCAACACATTGCACGATGTAATTCACGATGTAAAGAAGGTCTGTTCTACAAAGTATTAATTTAAGAAATTCCCGTTATATATAAATTAATAGCAACGCTTACAGTAATTAAATGTATAAGAATAGTTCTCATCATTTCGTGAAATTTCTGTCATTATAATTTGCCATCGATGCAAGTGTTATCTATAATATACAGCTACAGTGAGTAACCTTAATATTCGATAACACAAAATTTGTATTTTATTCCATTATATTGGGTTGGTAACTAAGTAATTGTCGATTTATTCAATGAAATAAAAAATTTTTTTTTACTTGGAATGAAGTTTAATCTGTAATGTATTTTCCATTTTGTTCGATGACCTTTTGCCATCTCTCTGACAACTTGAAAATTCCACGCTTGTAGAAAGTCTGATCCTTTTGGGACAAAAACTGAGTTAAGTGAGATTTTACAGCGTCATCATCATTAAAAGTTTTACCACGAAGGGAGTTGTCCAGGGATCGAAATAAGTGGTAATCCGATGGCGCGAGATCAGGGCTATATGGTGGGTGTAACATCAATTCCCAACCAATATCCATCAATTTTCGCCGAGTGGACAAAGACGTGTGCGGCCTAGCATTGTCCTGGTGGAAAATGACACCTTTACGATTGACCACTTCTGGTCGCTTTTCCTTGATCGCTGCATTCAATTTGTCCAGTTGCTAACATTCGCGAATAATAAAATATAACATAATAATAATATTAATAATAATAATTTTATAATATAACATTTACGGATATCATAAAAATGGGAGTGAGAGACATCTATAACTGAAATCGGCAATTACTTAGTTGCCAACCCAATAATTTTGTTCATAACAGAAAAGAAAACATGGTCGGGTATGCACTGTGTAGTCACGATGTAGGCACTGCGTCTAGTCAATAACATATTTACACAACTCACGACATTACTTAAATAATGAGTTTTAAATGAAACAATGTCTGATTTTAGTGTTGCTCTATAATATTCAGATACTTCAAAATATAAATGAGTATTTTCTTATTTTATATGGTTGAGAAGCGATTTAATATTTTTTGGGGTAACCTGCTCGACCAAATAGCTTTTTCCGAACGTTCAGTCATATTGCAGATTATTTTTTTAAATATTCTGTATTAATATTAGCCCATTCTTCCGTTTAAAGTTGTTCCAACACTTCTTTTGATGTATTTCTTCTATGCTGTCTTTCGTTGAGATCCGGTAACTGAGGTGGTGGTTATAATACTTTTGGACAGTTATACAACAAACATTCTAGCACAATACGGGCTTTGTGTCTCGTATCGTTATCCTGATAATAGTTAATGATAATTTCGCGTAAATTATTTTTCAAAAAATAATAAAAGTATTTAAATACATGTTTTATATGTTTCTAAACGTATGTTTTTGTTGAGAAAATATTGTTACTTTTATTTCTGTACTCCAAGCGTATGAATACTTTTGTCGCTCGCTTTATACAGTTTGCGAGGTCAGTGTTCCTTATATTTTGCAGCACTTGTACATGTACCCAAGGTCAAGCGAAGCGAACGGTAATATGCACAATGCACGTGCAGGGAGAAGTTGTTCAGAACGATGAACTTTGCAACATGTTCCAAGGTCATCGGGACCAGCGGGGTGAATTACCATCGAACTTTCTTGTGAATCTAATGCTAGGGATCCGGCAACGTCGCAAATTTTTCTAATAGCCGACAACATTGGAAAACCGACGAACTCTGCGGCCAGTGTTTTTGCGGCGAACGCGCCGTTCAATTTCGAGAGATGGCGCTTGGGTTACGACACCTTGAATGGCATCGGTAATACAGAACGGTGGGTCAGAAAGCCTTATGGAACGAGAGGTCTGCGCGGGTTCTAAGTCTGTGTGACAAGAGTATCTGAACAATTTCCCACCACCGTCACTCGATCGGTAGCCGCAGTCGATCGCGGTCCCGGCACCGAGCCTGATTGCTCGCGCTTGATCGCTCCGTTCCGTCTTCCTTTGGCACCGAGCACCGGCTGCCTCGTCTAATTCAGGAGGCTGGTAGCTTCGCGAAGGGTCGCGAGCCTGAACTTCGTCGCTCGATGTCGTCGAATTAAACCACGTGTTGCCAAAACCGTCCCACACGAAAACCGTCTGATTACGCACGATTCGAAAGATCGTCCCACCGGCGCACCGGAGAAACGAGAGGGCCAGTGTTCGATAAGTGACAGAGAGCCGCGCGCGACCAACAGGAATCGCTGGGTCGCCACGATGAGCGGAACCAGCAGGAAGAAGCTGCACACGGGTCCCAATGAGATTGATTACAGTAGAATACCCGAGCCGAAAACTAATTGGCAGGCGTTCAAAGATTACATTCACAACCCCGACGAGGGCACTTACTGCGGTCACACGGGAAAGAAATGGGGTAATTCCTTTTCATTTAAATTATACCTTAATCGGTTAGCTGTTGCGACCACTTTGAAAAGTGCCTACCCAAAATGTGTTGCAAATGAGAAAACAGCTAATTGTTTACGCTATATACTTTTTTTCAGAGCTTTTTCAGAATAATTATTTATATTTCTTTATTTGTTCGTTTTATTTCGTCCTCGCCTTCAAATATTCTAAACATCTTCAAATTTGCGGAGATATTTTAGTTTTCGCAAAAATTGCAATTTGAACATCATATTCGAACCACTTTTTACACGCGACGAGTATACTCGTTGTAATACAGAATATTGTAATTTGTCTTCGTGACGAGTAAACTCTTCGAAAACAGCTGACTAACTGTTTAACACGTTCAGTGGCCCATTGGTCGCATATGGGTGATACTAGTTTTTCACTGCTCTTCAAAACTCATTTCTATTGTGATTATATTCGAACAAACTGAACAACAGAGTTAAAATACTTTCCACTATTACAAGTAGACCGTGGATTTTTATGCAGAAGAAAAATGATTTTCGTCGATTGCAGCAAACACGAGTTAAGTAGAAATTTCTTTCTGTTTTTGATAACTGCCTCGAATTGAAAATGATACGTAGATGTTCTTATATTCTTTTAATGTTTTCATTACTTGAAATTTCACTTACCACTTTTCATTATAAATACATCAAATCCACGGTCTAATGATAAGCTTCAATTTTCTGGATTCAGTTTCATTAACACTAAACCTAATGATTTTGATCTTTTGATTATGATCGGTTTCACATTTTTTGTTTTGAAGTTGCTGGAATTAGAAAATGATTGAATCAATTTCTTAACCAGAGCATACATTATAACAAAATCGTAGAATAGTCTAAATAAAACACACGTTAGTTAGTTTTGGGGCTCGATGGGTTTAGTGTTAATTAAGCTAGTATTTCGATTTTGTGGGAATTTTTGAACTTTATATTCGGCACTTAACGTGGTTAATCTGCGGCGACGAAGCGTTCGCTTGTATTTAGAGTATCGGCATTCTCCAAATCTCTTACGCCGATATCTTCTTCTCGTTTGGAGAAGATGATAGGTGACACTAATGAGCCGTGCGAACAACAGAACGTTACAAATTTTGCACTCGTAGCAGCTTTCGCAGAACGTATTCGTGATTTTGCAAATGAAATTTACCCATTTGCAAATAAAATTCACTGATTTGTATTTATTTCGAATAATATTCATATTAAATTTAAGAATTGAATAATATTTTATAAATACTATTCGCGATTAACGAAAGTTAATTTTTATTGCAATGAAATTTGTATTATCTTATAAATGAGTATATAAGTTCATATTAAATCTAAAAATTGTGTATAAAAGACAGCCAGTTTTAATTTCTGAAAGAGATAATTTTCCTTGCAGAAGGTGAATTTGATTTGCAAAGAGATGAATGTAACCCACAAAAAGATTAATTTGGAATGCAAAAAATTGAATATGATCTATAAAAAGAATTCATTTGGAGTGTGAAAAGATGAATATAGTCTACAAAAAAATTCATTTCGATTGCGAAAAGATGAATAGGGTAGTGGAGCCGGTTACTGTGACATGACCAATCGCCGTGCCTTTGATTTGTCTTCGGGAATAATTCACTTTATATTTATACAATAAAACACATTACATTTTTTTTATTCTTTTCTTATTCTGTTTATTTCTGAATACAAAATTGATGAATGAAAAAGAAAAACGGATTTACACTAATTGGCTTCTGAAATGTCCATATGCGTCTCTATATGTATAGACGATAACGTCTGTATCGTTGTTCTCGAATTATAAGAAGAGCGAAGGAGAGTTCGGCGAACTAATGACTGTACAATTTTTCATTCGATGCTAGCGAACACAAAATGCGATTCAAAGCGACGGGATTGCAAGAAAATTCGAGGATGAACGTCTTGTCTCGGGCTATGTATTACGAGTCCATCTCGTTGTACTCTCGAAACTGGTAGCACCGAGTAGCTTTGAACGGCTGTCTTTCAGACCGTTGGCTTCTGTGTCATCGAGGTAGGCATGAGACATCGTTGAACGCCTAAATCAAGTACCGAGAATTAGGTCTTCCTTGACTTTACTGCATGCTAATGGAACGAGCTTACGGTACTCAGCCTCTTCCCTGCAACACGATCGAAACCATCCGCTTTTGTCCGAGCAAGCTAACGGCCGCGCGAATTTGTTATGTGAATCGGCAAGCTACGAGAACACGTGTAGTTCGAATCGCGTGCATTAGAATCGCGTTCGTCGCCAGGAAGCCGTGAAATGACGGCCGTTTTGGCAGTAGCGGAATGAAAGGGCACCGGAAATAAATATCGACCGCGTTAAATAGCGCTAAACAGAAGTAATAGAATCACCGTGCGAGGGGTTGCAGTTCGTGCATGATTTTAAGACGACCCAGAGACGATTGAATTCCGACGGCTTAATTGTTATCAATGACGTGAGTTAATGCTTCGCTCGCGTGCTGATAAGAAGCTCGATACATAATTAGATTTCGTTAGATTGTTATTCTGTTAGAGCATAGTATTATGAAAACATGTTCAAATAACCACTCTGTTCAATCTCAACATTGTTTTTACCGATCTATTTTGCATTTGCCTATATTTACGAAATTAATTTTATCATTATTAGTAAATGTCCCATTGTTCAAACGTTTAAGAAACGATAATATCCTTATGATTTATCTCTAGTTTATTAGTATCTATTTGAAAGGATCGATTCTTTTCTGACAACAATAAATATAGCGACATAACCGGTTCAAGAGCAAATCAAAATTAAATTAAGTGCGAATTTATATGCAGCCCCTTATGACTTAATGCCTGAACAGGATTTTGGACTTGTCCCAACAATTTAAATGTTTTGTCCCAGTAAATAAACAAAATTACGAAAATGTAACAGAATAATAAATTACGCATGCTGTATCGTGAGAAGTTATCTATTTTTTTAAAATCCATTTCTTTGAGTGGCTTTTTAAATTTCTTTTAAAGGACTTATCTATTTATATAATTTTCATGAATAGTTGTTGTTTATTGGTTATTGTGTTAGACATATGTTTTCATTTAAATAATTTCTTGAGATTGTTCATCGGATTCAGATTGAGCAATATAAAATTTGGGTTTTCCCTTAAAATATTTTAAGGTTACACATAAGTATATACTTAAATTGTGTATCGCTATGGAATAAACAAAACAATGCATATACGTTATTATAATTTAAATAATAATAATACTGAGTTAAATATATAATTTGTGCCTTTGTTCATAGTAAGTTAACGCAAAAGTATTTACATATCATCTATTAAAATTATCTATGTCATTGAAACTACATTAAAATAATGAAAAAGTAAATGCATAAATAAATACATTAAATCTTGACTGATTTCCGCAATAAATAGTGGCGCATTGGATCATTTTAGATTAAGTAATTTACGCGTGAAATGTGTTTGGATAACCACGAATTTAGATATCTTGAGATTGGTTAATCGAGGTTCCACTTTATTTGATTTTATTACTCGGAATGCATTGTTGATTGACAATCGAGATTGCTACTGGCAAAATCAAGACGAATTTTGTGCCGTAAAAACTAGATCTTGTAAAAGCACTGAGTATTCGCGCGTTAATAAGTAATACGTTGGATTGATAACGTGTAAAATAAAACGGATTGTTCAGATAATCTTCTCTTTCGGCAGATGTTAAACGGCTGCAGTATCAACGAAAACCAGCGTTGTGTTTATCGCTACGAGACTGGATATAAATTTTGGCACAAATTCCTTGTACATGGAACGAACGTAACTGGTTTAATCTTCGCTTGTGACGCGTTTCACAACCTCCGAGAATATTTGGAAAATCGTAAACTAATTTTAAGCCACTAGTAACAGTACAAGACTCTATTTTTGTTCGTTTGTTTCGTCTGATAGTGTGTTTATTGCAGCTTGATTCTGACGTTCCAATCGGCTACCTTGATCGCTTTTTGCTTAGAAAACGATAGAATTTATATAAAATGCATTATCGTTAAATAAGCACTTTTCAATATCTATAAATATTTTATAACACATCTATGCCACAAGTTCGCAGTAAAACATTGATCGAATGAAATGCAGTCAACGAACATAATATTACAATTATAAACAGGAAGAGATAACGATAATCATTCATGGCATATTGTCATGAATTCAGATTCAGCATCGAATCAGCTCCTTGTTGGAAAATCTATTCTAGCATGCTGCGATCTACTAGCTTTTATATTTAGTAAATCTAAAGTTGAAGTTATATCTCAGGGAAAGTAATCTACAAAATTCTGTTGACAATTTTTTATTTCATCAAATAAATGACTGTATTAATATTTTTTAAATGTGACTTGAAAACGAAAATATTTTTGCGATCGATGATGATGTCTCCGATGAAACATATTCTTTCAGTATAACAACGATTTTGCAGCAATGTAATCGAAGCAGAACCGGTTTCGTATTCCAGATTTGTAAACTTTGCTGTTATGGAATGTAAAATGTAAGGATCAATCTCCATTAAAGTGAAAGGATCAATTAAACCGTACACAAGATGGAAGTGCCAAATAATAATAACAATAATAATAATAATAACAATAAAAAAAATTATATTAATGATTTTAAAGTCACTTAATATAAGTAACGGGAACGAACAACATTGTAAAATAAATCAACAGAGGAGCGTATTGGTACTAACAACAATTTCGAAAAGAAAAATATGATTATTTATGGTTAAGTCTAGTAAAAAATATTTGGTACATAATTTTTGAACATAATTCTTGATACATAATTCTTGATGTATAATTCCTTGATACACAAACACGATTCTGCATATACGTGTACAATTTTTTGCTCATTAAACATTGTTGTTTACAGGCTGATGGGATTGAAACAATTTTGTGACCGTTTAGGACTGAAATATTTAGATGCTACTAGATGTTATAAAACATGTATTAGGCTCTGGTAATTAG